CGAGAAAGGCAGCGGCAGAGCCGCATCTTCAATGCGCGCCACCGTACTATGGGGGTGAGCCCCGCGGGGACCTGCTGTGCCAACGGGGGGGGGCAGCATGGGGAGAGGGGCCAGGTCTGCGCGGAGGGACCCATGGTCTCCATCAGCTGTTGTGTCCCTGTTCAGTTCAGGCAACCCTAGCAAGGGGGGGGGCACCATCTGCTATGCGGAGACTCAGGCAGACCTGGGTTCTGTCCTGGCCCTGGGTGGCGAATGGGGTCTGGTGCTTGCAGCTGGGGCTGGGAGCCAGGACTTCTGGGTTCTTTGCCCAGCTCAGGGAGGGTCTATGCCTCCCTGTAGCTCTCCCCTGCCCTTCCCCCCCAGGTGGACGTAGAAGCCCTGAAGAGTCAAGCAGAGGAGCGGAAGCGGAACGAGGAAAAGGAGAAGCGCCGGGATGAGAGCTATGGTGAGAGCTCTGGCCAGCCCGGCCTTGCCCTGTGATCTAATTGAATGTGGATAAATGTAAAGTAATGCACATTGGGAAAAATAACCCCAACTATACGTACAGTATGATGGGGGCTAATTTAGCTTCAGCTAATCAGGAAAGAGATCTTGGAGTCATCGTGGATAGTTCTCTGAAGACGTCCACACAGTGTGCAGCGGCGGTCAAAAACGCAAAGAGGATGTTAGGAATTATTAAAAAAGGGATGGAGAATAAGATGGAGAATATCTTATTGCCCTTGTATAAATCTATGGTATGCCTACATCTTGAATACTGCGTGCAGATGTGGTCTCATCTCAAAAGAGATATATTGGCATTAGAAAAGGTTCAGAGAAGGGCAACTAAAATGCTGAGGGGTTTGGAACGGGTCCCATATGAGGAGAGATTAAAGCGACTGCGAGGAGACAGACGGGGGATACGATCGAGGTCTATAAAATCATGAGTGGGGTGGAGAAAGTGAGTAAGGAAAAGCTATTTACTTGTTCCCATAATATAAGAACTAGGGGCCACCAAATGAAATTAATGGGCAGCAGGTTTTAAACAAATAAAAGGAAGTTTTCTTCACACAGCGCATAGTCCATCTGCGGAACTCCTCGCCTGAGGAGATTGTGAAGGGTTTAAAAGAGAACTAGATACATTCATGGAGGTTAAGTCCATCAATGGCTGTTAGCCAGGCTGGGTAAGGAATGGTGCCCTGGCCTCTGTGTGCCAGAGGGTGGAGATGGATGGCAGGGGACAGATCGCTTGATCAGTGCCTGTTCGGTTCACTCTGCCGGCAGTGGCCAATGCCAGGTGTCCCAGAGGTGACACTGGGCTGGATGGACCTTTGCTCTGACCCAGTCTGGCCGTTCTCATGTTCTTATCTCCTGGGGAGATGCCCCTGAACCCCGGCATCACAGAGCAACGGGGGCTAGGGAGAGGCCTGTGAGATGCCAGAAGAGCTGAGTCCTGTCTCTGACCAAGATGAGGGCTGAGTTGGGAGGCGAGCCCAGCCAGTCCAGTCCAGTCTGTCCAGCAGAGGGCGCTGCAGGGGCGGGGCAGGAGCACAGGCTGGGGTCTGATGTACAAGGGATCTGATGTACTTTCCCCAGACGCCGAGCGGGTGCTGTGCGACCGGGTGGCCTGTGAGATGCCAGAAGAGCTGAGTCCTGTCTCTGACCAAGATGAGGGCTGAGTTGGGAGGCGAGCCCAGCCAGTCCAGTCCAGTCTGTCCAGCAGAGGGCGCTGCAGGGGCGGGGCAGGAGCACAGGCTGGGGTCTGATGTACAAGGGATCTGATGTACTTTCCCCAGACGCCGAGCGGGTGCTGTGCGACCGGGTGGCCCAGATGCTGGAGGTGGAGGAGCAACAGCAGAGCCGGCGCCTTCGCCAGGCCCTGCAGGAGTTCTGGGAGCGGGAGCAGGCCGCCCACAC